GTATATGCAAATTGTGTATGTTTAGGTGCACATACCTTGGCATTATCAGTTTGTTTCAGCAAGTGACAGCCTGAAACTTTTAATCTACTATATATTTATTATTAGTATGTTAATATATAAGTGTGAGAATGCACGGGAGAAAAATCTATTATTGATATTCTATTTAATTATAATAGAATGAGCCCTATTTATATAATACATATCATACTCCTATTCTATGTGGGACTAGGACTAATTCATATTATTTACATAACTATCTAACAATAAGTATTGAGCCGGGGGTCTTTCGGAAACAACCTCTCAACCTTCAAGGTAACCTTCAAGGTAGGCGTAAAGTCTGCGCACACACTACTCTCCAGTGGGATTATACTGGGTTTGTTGTTCTTGTTCTTGCATGTTAATATATAAGTACCTTGAAACTTCTAATGCTACTAGCTCTCGAGAACTGTTCTCTGTCTTTCGTGATGAGTAGAATTTATTTCGATGAAAAAGGAACCCGTGGGTAGTAAAGTGATATAAGAGGAGAATTTTCTTGCTAGCATGACTAACTTTAACATAATCCTAGTTCATATTAACTCGTGGTTCGAGGCTATCAAGAAAGGCAACGACATAAGCCACTGGGCTTTGGTCCAATGATGTAGGTAGTATAGCCCGACATGTGTGGTAGGCACATGCTACAAGTTAAAATCATGATGCGGAACCAAATTTGGTATGTAACTGGAGAAGGGTTAGAAGAACATGCTCATTATCCATCGTGTTTCGAAACTGAAAAACAACAGATTTCATGGTTATAAAAAGATAAAGATAGGCATAAGCACCGATTACCATTAGCTTTCAAAGATTGTCCAGTAACCAAACCCTTCGGGGTGGCCGAGTTGGTTGAGTAGGGGACTTCCCAAATATGAGATCTAGGGTTTGAAACCACTTGCATACATCCTCGGTCGAGCCCGTAGCACGGGGGTTGCCTAGTGCGGTTTACCTTTCTGTGTGGTTTGCGGGCTATTATACAGGAACGAGGTTTACCCTATGCACACGAGTAGCGGCTGTGGGTTTCTTTGTTATAAAAAGATTGTCCAGTAACCAAGGATCATACTTGCAAATTTCAGAGGGTGCTCACAAAGTAAAGACCAAACAGTTTCAAGTCATTAATGACATGCTCAACAATAACAACCCAGTGGATTCCCACAAGTGGGGTTTGGAGAGGATAGGATGTATGCAACCTTACCTTACCCTGGACGGGTAGAAAAGTTATTTCCGATAGACCCTCAACTAAAGAAAAGATGAAAGACGCATTGATAACAAGTAATAACAATACAAGATATTAAGAAAACTGAAACCAAGATAGCAAAAGAGCTGTATGTAGTAATAGCAATCTAAGGATAAAATGATATCATACTAACACTAATACTATTGAACTAAGGAAGACGGAAATGCTCGACTACCTACTAACCTTCTACCTTAATTTTCAACCTCCACACCCTACTATTAAGGGTCATGTCCTCGGTTAGCTCAAGCTGCGCCATGTCCCGCCTGATCACCTCTCCCAAGACTTCTTTGGCCTACCCTTTCTCTTACCCACCAAGACCAACCTCTCACACCTCTTGACTCCTCCTGACTGGGGCATCTATGCTTCTCCTTTTAACATGCCCGAACCATCTTAGCCTCGCCTCTCGCATGTTATCCTCCACGGGGGCCATTCCCACCTTGTTCCGAATAGCTTCATTCTTAATTTTATCAAACTTAGTATGCCCACACATCCATCTCAACATCCTCATTTCAGCTACTTTCATCGTCCACCAGAAAAACCCTTCGATACCCCCAACATCTTTCTCGCCGCCTTTCTAATACAATCCGCTGTCATAGTCCACGTACAACTCGTGTCCCTACTACTCCTCCAGGCCCCGATAGCCAGCAACTTCTCCCCCAACTTCTGAACATTGTCCTTAGTCAATGCACCCCACCTGATTCTAGGTAGACCAGACACAACCCTCTTCCTCCTCGTTCGCCTGGTCTCTAAGTCCATAACCAATAGCCTATGCTGACCTGATCTCAACTATGTTTATTTTGAAATGGCAATTGACATCTTTGATCACTTAAAAGGTTCCAATAGTGGAGATGTAAAGTTGAGGAAGATTTGTGCTTCAAGAGAATTTCATGCTTCAAAAATGTCACCGGCATAAAATAAATCAGTGAACCTGGTAGCTTAAGCTTTTAGACGAGATTATAACAAAGTTCAACATGGTAACAACACAATAGAGGTCTTGTGTGTCGATTCCACTTCCATCCATAAACTAGAAACTTCTATGAGCAAGAAAGAAAAATTACAAGTCCTTTGTGAGGGGTCATTGCACACCTAAAATCGGTAATTAAAATTATTCTCTCTCTAACCGCTTAAGTTCTTAGATGTCGTGGTGACACAATTTAGTAAGAATTCTTTTTGGGGTAGAGAAAACATGGAGGCCAAGACAATGTTGTTAGAAGGTATACTTGGTTGGGTGAACTCTAAGACGACCTAGACTTCTCCTATATACAACTGATTTCTTAAATAAAGAAGTTGTTACTCTGATAAAAATAAAAAATAAAAATATAGAAGCCGTTTATTCAACAATAGTCAAAGGAGATGGGAGAGGTGGACAAGCTGGAGTTTTACAATCCGAAACACCGCATGAAGTTATAGTATGGAGATGCTATTTGCATTGAACTATATGAAGTTGATGGAAGCAACTATTACCTTGCCAAAAATTACCAAAATCTCCACATCATTGGCATGTGTACTGAGGAGGGAGAATTTTACGGGGAGGGTGAGAGCGGGGTTGACGAAGACTGGTAAGGAATATTTTGGAGGAGGAAAGATGGGAGGAATAAATAGGCGGTGGAGTCACCTTAAGTAGTTGGGTAATCAAGAAAATCTTGGGATCAAAAGATTTTTGGGGTTGTGATTTGAAGGTTCTGAGGAATTGATCTTTCTATCTTAGGGATGTAAAGATGAAACGGAGTGAGGTTAGCACCGGGGATAGGGGAAGAAAGATAAGAGTGGGTTGCAAATGAAAATAGGGAGGGAGTAAAAAAGAAATGTGTGTTATGGTGTTCTATGAAAGGTGAGGAAGAAGGGGCACAAGAGGACCGGGGGGGGGGGGGGGGGGGGGATTCTGATTTGATTTACTGGGTATGAGTTGAAACATACTATCATGGGATGTTTGGGCTTTGTGTGACCTTAATGAAAGAGGTGTAGTTTGGTTTAGATGTGAAAGCAGACAAACTAACATGGGAAAGTTTAACAAATGAAGATAGAAGCCTTTTGAGGGGCAGAGATGTGGGCAGATTGGAGATATCGAGAAGAGGTGCTTCAAGAGCTATTACGGTCATGTGAAAAATGAGGTGGGTAGTGGCTCAGGAGTATAATAGGTGTACACACAATTTCGCTTGTATCTAAGTGCTTAGCTAGTGGTTTTATTTGGGACTTTCCATGAGTGATGAGGCTGTGGGGACTCTTGAAAGGTTTTCTTTTGGGCAGGAGCTAAGTGCTAGTAACAAGACTACTGAAAACTGGGAGGTTTCATGTGTGGCAGAGGGTGATTCCTGCATAATAACAGATCTCGGTGCCACAATTATTCCAGGCATCGTTGAATTCAGAGATTTCGCTTACACGCAAGCTGCTGATCAATTGCCTCTGTTAGGCTACATTCACCTGCCAAGGGCAAAGGAACAAAGGTCTAGTTCGAGACAGGCAGTTCCTTGTGACTGGCAGATGGGAGACGTTAAAAAATCTAGCTCAAGCTCCAAAAGGTCGCGGTAGACCATACTCCTATTGTATACCTGTTATGCTTTATTGTGAAAAGCTGTACAACAAGAACAACCCAGTAGAGTTTGTGGAACTATCAAGTCAATGCACCCTACATATCGATTCACTGTAAACCTAAGCTTAAGAAATTGAAGGAGGGTCTAAGAAAATGGAATAGAGGAGTCTATGGGGAAGGCCATGTCAACTTATCTTAATATTCAATATCTTTAAGATAGTTGCTATCTCGGAAGTAAAAATTGTTGCTTGTGAATTCTCCTGCAGCTTAATGTGACACTAATACATCTCTGCTCTTAAAATTTTCCGGCATTTACCTTCTCAGTTTCCCAAATTTTTCCCCAGTATAATACTCCAGCTTTGCCATCTCAAGCTTTAACTGGGAGAAATATAGGAATTTGAATTAAGGGTGCTGTTGAGCTGTTGCCTATTTACAATAGATAAGAACTTTCTCAAAGAAAATACTTACTCATCCTAGGAGATCGAGATTTGCCAGTATTGACGTTATCATGTAACTCACGGTACAAACATATCATGTATTAAGCAAATATGTTAATTTGGATATGACTGCAATATGTTGTTTGTATTAAAGGTACTCTTGAGCTAGTTGCTTAATTGCATTGACAATCCATTTAAAAAATTTTATTAGCAAGAAAATTGATTAACTATAGCTGGATTTGAAGGTGGACTACAATGTTGGGAATAAACAACAAGCAGGTCGCCTTCTGTAAGATTTATGGATGAACTTGGAGAAGCCCTTAGAGTTCAGGGTCACAGGAAAGATTAGTCCTTGATTTCTGTTTATACTTGCATTGCATAATCATGAACTCCATCATCAAAGGCAGATTTAGGATTTCTTGAACATGGGTGCACCACTAAAAAAAGTAGAAAAGAAAGTATTAAGTGGGAATCGATCCGTGTTCCTCTATTAGTAGGTGCACCATTTAGTCTTTTTGGAACATAGGTGCCAACACGTGATATTAGTAAATTCTAGAAAATACGTGCATAAAATACCTAGTTTGGCGGAAAGACTATGGGTTCACGTGCCCCATGATTTGGGCTATACATCCACCCCTGTTCATCATGCTGTATTTTATCTTTCTTGCTATCACTTTGTTGCTTCTGAACTAGAAGTTTTTCTTGACCAAAGTAATTGCTCTTTTTAAAACTTCTGACATTGTGTTTTGCGCTGATTGTTGCTCAGGAAATCTCCAGGGTTCTGAATTGATGGATAAGATGCAAGAGCAGGAAAACATACTTCAGCAATGTGTCAGCCAGCTTGAGAATGCTGAATCATTGAGAGTTACCTTGATTTCTCAGCTGAAAGATGCACTTCAAGATCAAGTACAGTTTTTCCCNTAAGTGGGGTTTAGGGAAGGTAGTGAGTACGCAAACCTTACCCTTACCTCCACTTTCCGGTAGACCCTCGGCTCTAGAAAAGATGAAGAAGCATTTGCAGCAAGCATTAACTACAACAAGATAATATGATATCCGAAGCGAAAGAAATAACATGAAGTAAAAGCAAACTACGAATAACGAATTACAAGCATAATACTAATACTACTAGTATTGGAAAGAAATATGCTCAACTACCTACTAACCTTCTACCCTAGTCCTTGACCTCCACACCCTCCTATCAAGGGTCATGTCCTCGGTAAGCTTAAGCCAAAAAAAAAAAAGAAAGAAAGAAAAAATAGCAAAAACATAATCTAACCCCTTGTGTAACACCTATCACTATGATTTTCATAATCCTCTCTAGACCTTCTATGTTTACCTTACATTTGACAAGGGGTATATAGCAGAGAAAAACTACACAAAAAGCTACATGACTGCGTTTCCCATGCTCCTATTGGTGGCTAACCAAGTTCAGTTCCTAATGATTTTTCTATTTTCAGGAATCTAAGCTAGAGCTATTACGCAGTGGGCTGCAGGTAGACTCAATCCCAGTCTTTTATTGCTCATATCTCTATATTTTATCCATTCACATGAAAAGGGGAACAGAAAATTAGGAAAAGATAAAGCATACTAGCCAATTGGAGGTATCATACCTTTTAGGTTCTTGTCCATGGTTTTCTTTTAGATTTTATGTTCTCCAATTTCCAGTAGTAGGGCCAATTTTTGCATATCAAATTGCTGCTGTTTGCAGAACAATCTAGATAAGGCAGTTCTATACCTTTTAGAAGTCTATATGGACTTTGGTAATTTATAGCTGCTTACCTTTTAGAAGTCTATATGGACTTTGGTAATTTATAGCTGCTGTGAATAAGTAATAGTCTTTTTTTCTTTACCTTTTGTTTCATTATTTCATTCTTTATGTAATTTTAGGTGTGGAGACTGCTACAGTTGGTCTTGTTTAGTTTGTCCTTGACGACTTACTGAAAGTGATGGGGTGGGAGTAGATAAACATAGGCTGTCGTTGCCTCCAGTTATTAAGAGGTTCTGGAATTATGGAAGAAGTTTAAGAGGTTTTTGTTACCATGTGATGGGCATGGGAGATGTTCCTGAAGCAAGTCACCAAAGCTCTCTTTTGACGGGAACCTGAGGGGAGGAATAGTATCCACCAGAGCTTTATTTTGCAAAGTTATGGTTTTTGGGTGTGGAAATCCGATGGGGATGGGATAAAGCGTCACTTGAGTTTTTTTTTTTACTTGGGTGGCCATGGCATAAGGTGAGCCTAAATGGAGTAACATGGTCAGTGAGGATTCATATAGCCGACACAACTTGTTGGGAATTGAGGCATAATTGTTGTTGTTGGATGGCCATGGCTATAATTTGAGAGAAGAAGGAAAGCATGGCAGGACGGCTTGAAGCTTCAGGTTGACACTGAAAGTGGTGGCGCATATTGCTGGGTTGGGGTGTGAAGTTGGGACTGGAAAAGGATGGGTAAATGAGCTATTCGAGGTGTAGGAGATACTTAGCCGTAAGCACATTTTTTTTAATGAAGTCTTAACCTTAAACACAATTATATTTCTTTGCTTGCTTTTGGTGCAACTTGACACTTGTGTATGATGTACATGCAATGCATATGCACGATTTGTAATTATGTCTTGTAAAACTAGTTTAGTGCCAAGTTATCATTTATAAAAAATTTCTTTACTTATAATAAAAAGAAGATAGCTTTTCTATTTTGAGTTGTCCAGAGGTATAGGAGATAGCTTCTTCCATTTTTGAATTTTAATCGGAAGCAGGTTGAAGAACTGAGCTCCTCATATTGAGGGGTGACTAGTTAGAGTCACTTGTCACAGAACTTTGACTTGTGAACGGAAAACTTTCCAAAATTTTGCTGGTTAGAACCCCATGTACAGTGGCTGCTAAATGGGCTAATGTCAGAAACTATTCATTTACAAGTGCAGCTTCCGTTTGGATGATCCAAAAGAAAAATGGTCAAGGAGACTGTTGAAGCCATAACTAATTAATTGAAAGTGTGCTTTCTCTAACCGTTTAAGTTCTTATTTTAGATGGTCACGCTATCCATTGTGGTATTAGAGCATCCAGAGATCTCGAGTTTAATTGAATAAGAATTTTCACATGCTTGGCCCTAACAAAATTAGTCCGGTCCCTACATGAGAGGGCGTGTTGAAGACGTAATTAATTAATTTAAGTGTGTTATTTCTAACAGATAAGCTTAGGCATAGTTAGTTGACTAAAAGTGTGCTATCTCTAACAAATTAAGCTCTTAAATGAGGTGGCCAGACTACTCAACATGGGGCTTTTCCAAAAAGAAATCAATGAGCTGAGTATTTCGTTAGGTCTTTGTTTGCTTTTGGGTCACTTAGGGTGGTTCATTCTGGGCCAGTTAGGGTGGTGCTTTTGGTGCCAGATTGTGAGATGAGCGTATTTATGATAATTTTTCTATCTTTTGGTTCTCTTTGTATCTGTATTGAGTTCTTATCTATGAGTTGCACTCCTCCTGAGTGCAATTTCTAATCAAATTCTCCGTTTTTCCAAAACAAACCCAAAAAATAAACAGAATAAGTTTAATTACTCACTAATCTCAATTGTGCTTCATGATCAGTCACTTTTTCCTTTGCCATCATATATGACATTACATTTCTGTTTTCAGAACTCATGTTTGTGATTTCAATTTCCCTCTCTTGCACCTTAAGGTTTTCCATATCCCTTGGATCACTGTTTTTTCCCCAACTATTCTCAGTTCTCATGACTTCATCTTCTGAGCTGCATGAAGTACCTAAATATTCAAAAATCTTTTGTTTTTGCTATTTTATTTTTGGTTACTTCATGAGTGTTGGATTATTATAGGGCATTTAGACGCTAAAATTTGTACCTTAAGTTGCATTTGATGTTATGAGTACTAAATTCTCATATATTAAGCAACTTCTGTATCATCTTTAAACTATGCTCTTCATTTCGAGGAAACATGTGCTTCACTTCTCAGTTCTCGCTTAAAGCCCTAGGAGTCTTGTCACCTTTTGTGCTTTTCGCTTTTATAAACACTGTTCTATACCCATTTTCTTCCAGAACAAAATGACCATTAGAAAATTACCCTACAATAGTACTTTGTTATCCTGTTTGTCATTTTGTGTGACTCGATGTAGACAACAATTTGTTTTTTTGAAGATGACCGGCTATGTTATCCAGTTTGTCGTTTTCAGTGACTAGATGTAGATATCAATTTGCAAGATGACTTATCTTCTTCAGGGAATATTTCCCAGCAACGCAGTGCGTGATGCGTGTTTTAGGTGCATGTCATAGACTTCAAACCCTGCTGACTGTCGTAGACAAAAATTTAGTATTTAAGGGGAGAAGGGTACGGTGGCAAGGCCCATTATCCATCGCGTTTTGAACCTTGCGTCATTGGCCCTTGGGATTTTCTCAGTTATCAAAAACAAAAAAAGAATTTCATCTGCGAAATGTCTTGATGAGATAACTAAGATCCTTCCTACCTTGTTTTGTACTATTTTCCAGCACCTTGACACTCATTTTACAGCAGTTTTTAATGTTGCTCAAAATCTCGTCTTAGGCGCTCTGCCATCACTAGTATAGGTGTTGGTCAAATAAAGGGGTGGGATAATTTGTTCTTTCCAAGTTCTTTTTTCTTAAATTAGAACCCTATTTATGTTTTGGGGGTCGTTTGGTTCACAATGTGTTAATTGATGAAACTAATGAGGGTTTCAAACAAAAGCTTGAGGACATGGAGAAGCACCTTGGAGAGTAAGAGCTTTAGGATAAGTAGAAGTAAGATTGAATACATGCACCGCAAGTTTAGTCAACATGAGAAGAACGAAGTTAAGGTAGATAGGATTGCAGTACCAAAATGCAAACAATTTAGATATTTAAGTTCGTTGTTTCAAGATAATGGAATGATAGATGAAGATGTTGCCCATAGGATTAAAACCAGATGGTTAAAAGGGAGAAGTGCTACGGTGGTGTTATGTGATAAAGGGATGCCTACCAAAGTAAAAGGTAAGTTTTATAGAACAACTATATGACCACAATGTTATATGGTAGTAAATGTTGGGCTGCTAAAGTCCGACATATTCGCAAGATGAGTGTTGTAGAGATGGGTATCTAAGATGGATATGCGTTCATACAAGATTAGATAGGATTAAAAATGACCACATTCGCAGAAGGTGCAAGTAGCACGCATTAAGGATCAAAAGAGAGAAGGTCACTTTAGATGGTTTTGTCATGTCTGCGTTGCCCCACGGAGACACCGGTCCGTAGGTGTGATACTATGGTGAGTAGAGGTGTTGAAAGGGGACTGGGTAGTCCTAAAATCACATGGGAGGAAGTCGTCTCGAAAGACCTATAAATCTTTGGAATCAATGCAGACTTGACTAAAGATAGGGTACTACAACAATAACAACATACACAGCAGGTAGAGAGGTTTCTGATAGACCCTCGACTCAAGAAAAACGTTTCCAAAATAGGTTTGAAAAGAAAATACATGAATAAAAAAAGTTATGATGAATGTACTAAAGAAAAGAAAAGTATTGACAACAAAAATGTTAAAGATAACTTAAGTGAAAGAAACAACAATAGTGATAAAATTGAAGAATAAGATAATAATGGAATAATAATATTGCTACTAATAAGGAGAAGAGGGAACAAATAAAGTGCTCAAACTAGAACAATGCTCTCCCATAGAGAAGAGAGAAATCACTCGGCTATCTACTAACCTTCTACCCTGATCCTCGACCTCCATGCTTTCCTATCTAGGGTCATGTCCTCATTGAGCTGGAGATTGCCATGTCCTGTTTAATCACTTCTCCCCAATTCTTCCTCGGTCTACCTCTACTGTGAGAATGCACGAGAAAATATATTATTCACATGTATTGACAATGATACAATGAGTCCTGTATATAATGCATGTTCTACTCCTACTACATATTGGATTAAGGTTATTTACATGTAACTATTTAGCTACCAAGCTTACACTCCCCCTCAAGCCGGTGTATATAAATCATATGTACCGAACATGTTACATATATAACTAATACGAGGACCAGTGAGGGACTTGGTGAAAATATTAGCAAGCTGATCATTCGATTTCACAAATTTTGTAGCAATACCTCCTGAGAGTATCGTTTCTCTGACGAAGTGACAATCAATCTCAACGTGTTTAGTCCTCTCATGGAACGCCAGATTTGATGCAATATGAAGGGCATCTTGATTATCGCACACAAGTTCCATCTGGTTGATTTCACCAAATTTCAACTCCTTCTGCAATTGTTTGATCCAAATTAGTTCACATGTTGCCATAGCCATTGCTCGATATTCTGCTTCTGCACTGGACCGAGCAACTACATTCTGTTTCTTACTCTTCCAAGACACCAAATTGCCTCTTACTAAAACACAATATCCAAACGTAGAACATCTATCAGAAGGTGATCTTGCCCAATCAGCATATGAGTATCCAACGATCTGCTCATGGCCTCGATCCTCAAACAATAACCCTTTTCCTGGAGCT